TTTTTTTTTTGGTGATAGATTTAGGCTACTCATGCTTGAGAAATTTTGGTCCCCGATAGAATTTGAAAAAAATTTTGGGGTAAACGACTAGAATAATTAGAGCCATGTATTTATTTAGCTGTCCACTGCTGGTCTCCTGTTTTCCACTTAGGTAGTCACAGAACCATGTTCCTTTAAATATATTTACTTAATTTTACCGACAACCTTATGAGATAGTTATCCTCATTTTACAGATAGGAGAAAGTTAACTTCTCAGATCTTACTCAAGATCAGCCTACTGGTAAGTGGCTAAGCAGGGGATTCAGTCTCTGGCCTATCTGGCTCCAAAATAAGGGAAAATCTGAGTATAGTGCTGTATCTTTATATCTTGGATGTGGAAATATAAATTTAAGAGGCACAGCTTTAGCTAACTTTGATTAGCTCCCTTATACATGGTTTCCAGAGCTGCTTTTTAGCTCTTAATTTGGTCCTCCCAGCAACCCTTGAAGTGTAGGTGTCATGGCTTCATGGTATGATAAAAAGGTATGCTAAATTCTATTCCTGGCTGTGTCAAAGTTTATGAGTAACAAGGTGCATCTAATCTAACTCTTTTAGGTCCTTAGTTTTCTCATTTGTAAACTGACAATTGGATTTGGTAACCAAGATCACATCAATTCAGTGTAAACTCGTTCTAGGGGCTTTCAGATAACGATTTGTCAAATAGTAAAGGGCAGCATCAAAGGGAGATATTTGAGCTTTAAGGCTAACTGAATCACCTGCTATCTTTGGAAAGAAGTGGTGCTCCCAAAATAGCAAACAGCTTGTTTTGGTGACAATCGGAAATTGAGATTAGACTAAAATAATGGGTTTCTAGTCCTGTGCTTTGTTTCTGTTCAAAGGGGTAAGGATAATATAAAAGTTATAAGCTGAGAATTGTATTTGGAAATAACTAATTTAGTATTAAGTATGGAAACCAGTGTGTTTTGTGGAGAGTTCTATCACAAGTTGGTTTGAAAGTGGGAATATTTAGAATTTGTAGAAACTTCACATGCGTTTGTTTTGTTCTGCCTTGACTGTTAGTTGCTGGAATCAAGGATAGAGGAAACGGTTCTTCTGTATTCTAGAACGTGAGGCTTGGTTGCTCACAGGCATTCTAGATGATTACTCCTGCGTGTGTTATCATGAATTATGTATTGTGGGAAATTAAAAGTGTCTTAGGAGAGGATAGGCCAAGGGTTTTAAAGATACAAGAGGACAGTTTTAAAATAACAGTAGTGTGGTTTTAAGAAATGTGTAGTTTAGGTTTGGTAACACCAATTTGAGACTTACTGATTGATGATTAAGAGTTGTATGTTCTTCTGTATCTATACTTTCACTAATTCAACAAGCATTGCATTCCTGGTCTTTGACAAGTTGCATGTTAGCAGTTGGGTTATAAAGAAAACTGATCATCCCTCCCACTTGTGTATGAACTTCTCCAAGAGTCTGTCAGCCAGCCAAGATTAACTTTCTTACTTAAAAATATGTTTGAAATGTCTTTATGTAAATTATATCAGCCCTCTATCAGGTGTAAAATTAAAAATCTTTTCACAGGGAGAATGAGGTTGAAGAGGTAAAGGAAGAGGGTCCAAAAGAGATGACACTGGATGAATGGAAGGCTATTCAAAATAAGGATCGGGCAAAAGTAGAATTTAATATCCGAAAACCAAATGAAGGTGCTGATGGGCAGTGGAAGAAGGGATTTGTTCTTCATAAGTCAAAGAGTGAAGAGGTAAAATTAAGCTTTGTGGTGATGGAAAATATTCAGATGTGATTTAAGTAATATTTGTAATTTTTATTTTAAGATTTCATGTGGATGATATTCAGTTTATAAAGAAAAACTTTACAAAGCATTATTTAGGGCAGATAACTTTTGATTGAAAAGGAAGATAAACTGCATTACCATTACTCTGGTCTTTTCAGTCCTTAAGTATATTTAACGTAATGTCTCTCTTTTCTGAAAAGCTGTTGGTGTATCATAGTTTGTTAGTACTTTAGAAATCTTATAGTACTTCTCAAAGTTGTGGTTTTTCTTTTTTTTTTAAATTTCACTTAACTGGGAATTATTAAAGTCCAGTAAAACCTACAGAAGCTGGAACCTGTGTAAGACGGAAACCTGTCAAAGAAGGAAAGTGCAAATATTTTCCACTAAAATGAGCAGTAGGAAAGTAGTAAGACCGCGCCCTGTCAAAGGTGAAAAACTTGCGAGACCTGGAAAAACAAGGCAGTCCTATCAAGTTCCAGCTCTCATAGGTTTCCTCGTATTAGGTTGAGATGTTGGCCTTTTCGTATGGTTTAGCCAAAAGTATAAGTGGGCTCTATTTAGTACTGAACTTTTGAAACTGTTGACCTGTGCCATATATAATGGTCAGATTCAGTAAGTGGTAGTCCCCTTCTTTACTGAGGAGTGATGCCTTGTAAAGACCAGAGAATTAATTTATGGGTTTCCTTTACTTAGGAAGCATGGAAATCAATGAAAATATTTGAGAAAGTCATGTTGGTGGCTTTTGATTTTGATAGCTTCAACTTAAGCCTTGGGGTGTATTTTTAGAGGAACGTCCTAGTGCTACATCCTATGTAAGAATGAGTTTTTAATCATAATTTTACCATTGCTGTCAAGTTGATTCTGACTCATAGCAACCCTATAGGACAGAGTAGAACTGCCTCATAGGGTTTCCAAGGCTGAAATCTTTATGGAAGCAGACTCTGTCACATCTTGCTCCTGCGGAGCAGCTGGTGGTTTGAACGGCTGACCTTTTGGTTAGCAGCTAAGTGCTTAACCACTGTACCACCAGCGCTCCCATCATACTTTTAGCCAAACCTAAATTATTTCTTCTGCTAAATTCTTTTTTCTTTAAACTTTTGACATTTGTGATATATTCATGTCCTAAATCAGGCTGTGCCAGAAATCCAGAGTGCAAATTCTGTCATTCCTAAAGTAAAGTCAAATTGAAATGTTATGAAGGCAACCTGTAATAAGATTCATTAGGGTTTTTTTTTCTTCTTAATAGTTTTTTTTCTTTTTAATATCCTTTAAAAAAAAATGGCTGTAACACAAACCCGGAAGCATTTTAAAATAACATTGAGGTTGAAAAGACTTTTTTAGGTTTAGAAAAGAAATGCTTTTTAACATTGACTTCCATTTTTATGAATTATGCCTGTAGTTATTTTGAACATAGAACGGGATAAACTGGTGGTATTGAATTAAGGTCAGCCAGTAAAAGTTCTTGAAACTTGAGTACTCATATCATTAAAGCATACATTGAGGGTTAGAAGGAAGAGTAGATAAAATATTTGAAAATTTAGTGTAATCATCATCTGCATAATTTCTAGGAGTGCCTTTACTTCTTCAGCAGCAACTTTAAGTATTTTAAAATTATTCAAATTACCTATTGTAGTTTGATGAGTCATAATTACAAGTTTACTACCTGCTTAAAAATCTCAGTGTCACTGTTGCTCCATTGGCTTGCATCTATTTTTGTTTCAAATGTATAGGTTTTTATCTAAAAGCATAAAGTAATAAATGAGGTCATCATCTTAAGTGTCAAGTCCTGTAGACTTAGAACATTTATTTTTTTGTTATTTGTGGTTCTCGCAGATAAATTTGTTAATGTATCAGGGTAAAACAAAGGAATTCCTCATTCAGGAACCATGGAAGTTCATTTTGGGGGTGACTGATCAGTTGAATTAATGATCGAATTGTTTAGGTTAATATAAAAAAGATTCACCTACAGCTCCTTTAAGACAGTTACTTGTAACGTATAGACAGGGGTCTTGACTCTGGACTCTTTTTTCCGGAACAAGCTACATACGCACATAAAACGTTGTGGTTGTGATTTTAGGTGATTCATTAATACCCTGAAACCTCTTCATGCATTTTATATGCATTGGCTCAGGTATCCCAGTTTTAAATACTATCTTAGACCCAGGTTTTCAGAAATAACTATTATACAAAGCAATGTTTATGAGTAGAGATTTTGGAAAATTAAAAAATGTGAAAATGGTTATGAGTAACTTTGAATCAAAGACATTTACATTGTCAAGCCACTTTTTATGTTTGAGCCTTTATATTTTTTGTGCCTTTGTGATGTGTATACTTGTTTGAATTCTGACCCCCCATTGGCATATGGTCTTACCGCTTGACTATTTCTTGAAGCTTCATATACAGTCATGCATTGCTTAATGTCCACAATACGTTCTGTGAAATAGGATGCCATGTGACTTGGATATTGTACAAACACTATATTATATACAGGCAGTCTCCAGATTACAAACTAGTTCTGTTCCTAATTCTGTCCTTAAGTGGAATTTGTATGTAAATTGGAACAATTAGGTATGGTTTGTATCTTAGCGTCAGTTAGTCAGATGTTTATCTTAGGATATAGTATAGGGTGTACCTTTCTCTGCATAAAAAACATAAACACTTCCAGATACACTAAAACATCTTCAACATAATAATACAGTAATAATAATAACATTTTGATGGTGTCTTGCAGAGTAGCGCCGTTTGTTATGGACCATTTTATGTACCTCGAATTTTTAATATAATAGGCTTTACAGGAATTTGTTCATAACTGTGGATTGTACACAAGTTAGATGTTTGTAACCCAGGGACTGCCTGTACTTACCAAAGGTATATGGGATACTGTAGTGTATCTGTATTGACTAAATAGCCAAGGTGCTGTATATATACAGTACTGTATTTTAGCTAATGTATTTGGCAAGATAATATATGGGTTAAGTAGGTTAGTACTGTAATTCTGTTATAACCTTATGGGACCATGGACATATATGCCGTCAGACGTTGCCTGAATGAATGAATGTTAATGTAGTGCATGGCTGTAGGTAGCACTTGAAGCGCTCTTTCACTATTACATATCCTCATAACAAATATAAGGTAGTTAAGGGAAAAAAAGTAACTTCAGAAACAAAGAACTGAGTTACCAAGTTATCAATAGAGCAGAGACTAGAGCTCCGTCTCCTGATTATCATTCGTTGTTGTAGGAGGAGAAAAAATTTGGGGGAAGCAGTTTATCCTAATAGTTAACCTTAAAGGTTATGGACGTGCTCTGGAAACCCACAAAAAAACCAGTTGCTGTCAAGATGATTCTGGCTCTTGGTGAACCCGTGTATTACAGAGTAGAATTGCTCTATAGGGTTTTCTTGGCTGTAATATCTACAGAAGCAGATCACCAGGCCTTATACTTCACAGCTAGGTGAGTTCTAACTGCCAACCTTTAGGTTAGTAGTCAAACAAACTGTGCCACCCAGAGACTGAACATCCAAACCTTTTAATTATTGTAGTAAAATCTTCCAGGTATTTCAGTAGTGTATCAGTTTATGATTTTTTTGCTTCTATGCCCTAGAAAGTTATAAAACCTAGTCAGTGAATTGATACCATTGATTTGAAATGGCAAACATTCTAAATAGGCAGTTAATGTATAGTTGACTTTTATAATTCCTTTGCAGTTTTGTGGATTTACATTTATGTATGTTTCTAAGCTTCTTTAAAATTAATGGTAATTAAAGAAAGAACTTTAATTCTGTTGCCTTTAAATTGTGTTGGCATGGCACAAAGGAATGGCATTTAATTTGGTTATAAGGTGGATTGTTGTTGCTGTCGGGTCAGTTCCAACTCATGGCAACCCATGTGTCCAGAGTAGAACCGCTCCATAGGGTTTTCAAGGCTGTGGCCTTCCAGAAGCAGGTCACCAGGCTTGTCTACCAAGACATCTCTGGGTAGGTTCAAACTGTCAACCTCTCAGCTAGTAGTAGCACTTAACCATTTTGCGCCACCCAGGGACTCCTATATTACCCTTACCTGTTGCCGTTAAGTCGATTCTGACTCATAGTGACACTGTAGGACAGAGTAGAAGTGCCCCATAGAGTTTCCACGGAGTGACTGGTGGATTCGTACTGCCAAACTTTTGGCTAGCAGCTGAGCTCTTAACCACTGCGTCACCAGGACTCCTTAGAGCTATTGCTATATTATTCATTCTCATAAAGTACAGATTGGAATTTTTGGTCCTTTTAAGATAAAGCTAAATATTTAGAAGTTTTGCAACATTGCTTTTCTATTATTTATCCAGTGGCATTAATTTATATTTTTAGGCTCATGCTGAAGATTCGGTTATGGACCATCATTTCCGGAAGCCAGCAAATGATATAACGTCTCAGCTGGAGATCAATTTTGGAGACCTTGGCCGCCCAGGACGTGGTGGCAGGGGAGGAAGAGGTGGACGTGGGCGTGGTGGGCGTCCTAATCGTGGCAGCAGGACTGACAAGGTAATTTTAAGAGTTCTTTTCCCCCTTTTAAGTAATTCACATACCTCTTTTGGTAAAGCGCTGGCTGTGTGCTTTTGGGGGATATAAAAAGAAGTAGAAAAAGAAAATGATAGACTCCAATAAGATACATTTTAGGTCATATTTTTTAAAGCACTTAAATACAATCTGTTTTTGAATATTTGCTCAAAACTGTTGTTTTGAACTTGTTTTGCTTAGAGCTCTCAATGGAGTTAAGTTTCCACCCTTTATTGGGTGTTTATTAGGTACTGTGCTACACATTTTATGGATGTATGATCACTAATACGGTGACATCCCCATTTTCAGTAGAAGAAACTCAGGTACAGGGAACCAAGTTAAGCCTTGATCTTTACTAAGGTTTACCTGAAATACCAATCTGTTCCCTTTACTTTGATGATTTTGATAATTCCTCACTCCTTTTTACATCTCAGTCTAATGTACTCCTTGCGTCCATCTTATACAGTTCCTCTTGTGGCACTCACTAGATGGCTGTGGTCACCTTTTTTGTTGTTTTTGTTGGTCTGGATTTCTTACTAAACTGCCCTGTGAGGACTGGCATTCATTTCTGTCCTACTTTCACAGCATCTGCAATATTATGTATGTGGCACAAAATAAGTTCTCAATAAATACTTTTATAGAGGCCCTTGTAATTAGTAGACTCGAACTCAGATCTGTCTGATGCCAAAGTCCATGCTTTTAATGACTATATGCTATTAAAGTACTAAAGGTAGTAAACCTTTGTGTTATTTCATCGTCTCTTAGGGTTTAGCTAGGAAACAACCATAATGTCCTCCTGAATTCTCTCTCTGATAAGCAAGTTGGGGAACATGGCCACTTGATTCAATTTGTCAGTGTTTTGTTTTATAATGGTAACTTAGTATTATAGGTTTTATGGTTATCAGTGGCAGTGTAGTGGTATTTGTTTCTGTTACTGCCTCTGAAAATTTTTAAAGGCCCGTGTTGTATATATAGGCCTTTCAATATCTTTTTCAAAAGTTTTGTTACTTGTACTTTGGGTTAAACTTAGCCATTGGGCCTTTTCCTAGCATTGATGAATATGCTACTTAAATAATTGCTAATTGATTTCTTACCTGCTTTCAAATCATGCCATTCTTTAGGAAATCTGCAGAGTGTAATAATACTGAACCAAAAGTAAGACTCCACGTTCATACTCCATGTGAGTCTACTGTGTGATTTATTAGAAAAACAAAACAAAAATCCCATGATGATTACTAGAGAATTTTCATAGGTCTTGAAATTTAGGACAGAGTTCATTGCAAATATTCATAGTCCCATTCTGATCCATAATTTTGCTTTTTAAGTAAGAGCTTTGACACATTTTACTTAGTGTTATAACATCAAGATTTTTTAGAGTTCTCTGTCTGATTGTAGACACTGGTAATCCATTTTCAAGATTTGAGAATTGTGATTAATTTTGATTTGTTTCTTTTTCAGTCAAGTGCTTCTGCCCCTGATGTAGATGACCCAGAGGCATTCCCAGCTCTGGCTTAACTGGATGCCATAAGACAACCCTGGTTCCTTTGTGGACCCTCCTCTCTGAGGCTTTGCATGCTTAAGGATCCCAAACGACTAAGAAATTTAAAAAAAAAAAAAAAAAGACTCATTCATACCATTCACACCTAAAGACTGAATTTTATCTGTTTTGAAAATGAACTTCTCTCGCTACACAGAAGTAACAAATATGGTAGTCAGTTTTGTATTTAGAAATGTATTGGTAGCAGGGATGTTTTCATAATTTTCAGAGATTATGCATTCTTCATGAATACTTTTGTATTGCTGCTTGCAAATATGCATTTCCAAACTTGAAATATAGGTGTGAACAGTGTGTACCAGTTTAAAGCTTTCACTTCATTTGTGTTTTTTAATTAAGGATTTAGATGTTCCCCCAATTACAGAGCGATTTTAAATATTGGACATAATACCGGTTTTAATACCTGCTTTGCATTTTCACACATGGTCAGCTGAGACATGTAAACTTGATTTGTCAAATTTTATGCTGTGTGGAATACTAACTACTTTATGTATTTTAACTTAGTTTTAATATTTTCATTTTTGGGGAAAAATCTTTTTTCAATTCTCACGATAGCTGTTATATATGCTAAATCTTTATATACAAAAGTATCAGTACTTGAACAAATGCAAAGCACATTGGTTTATTAACCCTTGCTCCTGCAGTGATGCATGGTTCATTAGGTTCAAATTACACTTGATTCACGATTTCAACTATATGACTTTCCCATCTTAAAAAACAAATTAGATACGTTATTGGTGAAAGTTGTTTACGCTTATTGTTGATAGACAAATCCTGTCGAGTGAAGTAGCTACATGGGTGTGGATTTTTTCCCCCTCCAACAGTGTGGGTGGAATAGGTCAATTTGGCTAATGCGTAATATTTAAATTCTGTAAAATAAGTATCTGGCCCTTCAGTATGATTTGTATATTTGAAAGGTCCCAAAATCAAAATTGTACTTCTGTAAACAACTCTTTAACCCTTCGTTGTTCTAAAGAAACCAAAGGGCACTGGTTTGTATGGTTAGGGGGGAGTATTTTAATTTCTGGAATTTGGAAAGCAGGCAGCTTTACTTTATAAGGTTAGAACAGCAGCACTATCCATGAAATACAAACCAAAAACCTTACTGTTTCTGAATTTTCTATATTGCTATTAATTTTGATCTTCAGTTGATAGATGAATGTTTGCTCCACAAAAGGTGACAAGTATCTTTTTCCTCTTCCACCATTAGAAAATTAGGTTAATAATGGATTCCTTGAATGGGAGCATCACCACTTATTAAAACATACTTGGAGAGACTGATCAATAAACAAGTTTTCTAGGATTTTTTTTTTTTTTTATTTTTATTTGCCACCATTTATTGATGAACAGGAAAGAAATATTTTGTTTCAGAGGTCTTTGATCACTCAATAATTTTTAGTAATTTTTTACCTGTGTATGGTAATGCCTGGTTTTAAAAATAGGGAAGATCTTAAATTTTAAAATGTCTGTTTAACTGATTGGTTCTCGCATATATTTTAACAGAAATTGTACAGTATAAGAATTATTTATTTGGATTAGATTTATTCACCTAATCACTAGTCTGACATCTTAGGGAAGAGAGAATTATTCTTCAGTGGTGGATAAAACTTGTGCTGGTGTTTTGGATCTTATGATGCTGAGCATGTTCTGCACTGGTGCTAATGTCTAATACAATTTTATATTTACAAACAAACCTGCTACCCAGAGGCAAGTATTATTTAGTCCACACGGACTTTTGACCCCCCTTGAGAATGCAGCATACACACTCCTAAATCAGTATGTTTAGATTTGAGCGTTTAACTCGTTCCTGAACATGTGACATTAGTTCACAAATCTCTTGATTTCTAGCAGCATTACAGAAAACACCTGCTGTTAAGTAAAAATACTTTGCAGGTTCTGCTCACTGTCAGCCATTGCTGGCAGTCTGTCACGAGAGAACACAGCAATATCTGGTATGTTGCAAGCTTTCAAGATAGCTTGAACTTATGTTGATCCATTAGTTGTATCTGATGGATGTAAATTGCCTCCTAGTTCAATTTGTCAAGAACTAAAACTGTGAACCTAATTTTCTCTTTTTGGTGGGTAATAACTGAAAATAAAGATTTATTTTCATGCTCACTTTTTAAAAAGTTATGAAAACAAATAGGAGCCCATTTATCGTCAGTGTGTTTCCTGGTTTCTGACCTGTGTGTGCACCCCTCAGATAATGCTCATATTTAGTTTTCTCCCCTTATAGTTAGATTTTATGTGGGTTTTTTGTTAAACCAGGCTATTGAATCACATTTGGGAAGGATATCTATCTTAATGAGTGTTAAAATTAGAAATGTTAAATTTTTAACTTGTCACATGAATTTCAAGGGCTGACACATGACAGTTGGTATGTCTCTAAGCAGACCACATTTTGAGCATGAAAGCTAATCATACCGAATGCCACTTTTTATTGACAATAGGTAATACTCTTAATGACAAAATCCCTTAATGGACACGGATCCTAAAATAGAAGTGGTGGCTCCGATGGAATGTTTTAGTGAACTTATAACTTGACACTTTAAAAATAGAAATAGATTTTAAGGTATGTTCAGCTTGCATTGAAATAATTGGGGATATGTTTTCTTTATTAGCTAAATAACTGTTTTAGGACCTCTGAAGGATTTAAAAATATGTCGTCAGGTACTATAAATGTGGTAGCTGTTTTATCAGTTTTATTTTGAAAATGGAAGCAGGCCACATGATCTCTGGGGTTGTAAATATACTTGGGGCTTTTGGTATGGGTTTGGAGGGAGGATATTAATACTCCGTTCTGATTTTATTTTTCTAATTGTTGATGGTAACACTGAAAGAAAAATGTTCTTAATGCTTTTGGGGAATTGCATACAAAGTCTAATTATTGTAGATTGGATTTTTAAAATACATCTTTAAGAGAACACTATGTGAAAGAAACTAGCAGGTGTTAGAAGGTAGAAAAGCAATTTAAGGAGAAATGTGAAGCTGCTAGACCCAATTGGTGTTGACTCTAAAGGAAAGAATATGCCAGATATATCGATGAGCTGTTATAGCAAATTCTAGGGCTCTTGCGTACATGCAGTTCTACTTTCATTATGCTTAGAAAATACATTGTAACACAGACTTACAGTTCTACTGAGATTAATGTAAATAAGTATTCAGTGAATCTGAACACTTACAAGCCAGATCTCCAGGTTAACTGTAGAAAGCCCAGAAAATTGGATTATTAATATGCTTTGCAGGGTATATCTAGTAACAAGGCAATAAAATTTAATCAAAACTTCCAGACCCTAGTAATTAAAATGAAATAATTTATCAACATTGTTTGCAAAATGAACTATCTGATTTTATCTTTGGGATGAATATTAAGTGGCACTTTTCAGAAATTTGAGTTGTTATTTTTTGCTTAGCCTTGCCATGTTCTCTCAATTTAAGAATCTTATTTTTGAGTTAGACAAATTTGGAAGTTATCTGAGAAGTCTTTGAAATAAGTTGGTTTCAGTCCAGGAGGAATTCAATAATGCAAAGAATATAGGGAAAGCAAGTTGTAACCTAAAGGATGAGAAGCTTAATAGTTGGCAGAAAGTGATTGGGTCGTAAAGGAAATCTGTTAAAGCCATCAATATTTTGGCCACACATGAAAGTGCTGACGTTGGAAATGAGTATCGTTTCAATAAAGTGCTGTTATCTAAGTCAGCCAGCTTCATTTTGTGGCCTGTTTTTGTACAGTCTCTGAGCTAAAAATGGTTTTAATATTTTGAAATGATTAAAAAATAATAATTTCAGAGATTGTAGCCAGCAAAGTCTAACATGCTTATCTGGCCCTTTACAGAAAAAGTTTGCTGACCCTAACCAAGTTATAATTTCTTGGCATGCAAGAGCTCTTTTAAAATAAAAATTTACTTTTTGGTACACACTAATTCTGTCCTACGGAAAATTGTGAAATGTGAAGTAATTTTAATTGGAACAAGGGCAAGATAATCTGGTAGCCTCTTAGTAAAGATGATATTGTTAATTAAAAAATTATGTAGCTGGTGGTTTAAGTACATTTTTATGAAAGCTGTTAAGGAAAGTATGTAAAAGTAAGCATAATGATAGTTTAATGTTACACATTTACTGGCATTTGTCAAAGTTCTTAGTGTTAAGTTTTTTCTGTTATGCTAATTGATTTCCTCCAGATTTCTGAAAATTTAGTTACAGGTGAGAAAACATGTTTTAATAAACTCTGCAGTAAAAATTTCAGGCAAGAAACCCTGTGGAGCTGTTCTTCTCTGCAACACACAAGGTCAACCATGAGTCAGTGGCCGACTGCAGGGCAAGTAACAATAGGCTGAGCTGCTACAGGGATTAATGGCTGGGGAATGTATTTCTCAGATTAGTCAGGAGAGTACCCATTTGGGCTGAATTTCGCTTTTTTGACATTGATTACTTGTGTATTAAATAGCTGAGAGTCAATTGTTCACTTCTAAATATGGAAGGGAAGTTGAGAAGTGGCCCACACAACGTAGAAAATCATTTATCAAGTGATGTTTTTGTTTGAAGTATTATGTGCAGGTACTTAAGTTTCGAAGTCTGTGATGTTTTCCCTTTTTGCTGCCCATTTGGTAGGGTGTGGCAATCCTAGTGGATTTACATTTGTAGGGGTACTCTCCTAAGCCTTGTATATTGAAGACATAAAAGATAACTGTTGATAACGTTTTGCCTGGCAACTGATTGTTTTTTTTTTTTTGTCGGTTGCTATGAACTGATCTTGTGGCTTCATTCTTTAAGTAGCTGCATTAAGGTGGTTGTTAGGTGCTGTTGTGTTAGTTCCAATTCAGCAACCCTTTGTACAACAGAATGAAACACTGCCTGGTCCTGTGCCATCCTTATGATCATTGGTATGTTTGAGCCCATTGTTTAAGCCGCTTTGTCAATCCATTGCATTAGGGGTATTCCTTTCTTTCCCTGACCCTCTACCAAGCATGATGTACTCTAGGAACTTGGTCCCTTCCGAGTGCATAAGAGAAAGTCTCACCATCCTCGTTTCTAAGGAACACTGTGGCTATACTTCTTCCAAGACATGTTTGTTCTGGTAGTCGATGGTATAGTCAATATTTTTGATCAGCACCATAATTCAAAAGCATCAATTCTTCAGTCTTACTCATTGTACAGCTTTTGCATGCATATGAGGCAATTGAGGAAACCCTGGTGGCGAAGAGGTTAAGTGCTTCAGTTGCTAACCAAAACGTTGGCAGTTTGAATCCACCAGGCACTCTTTGGAAACTCTAAGGCAGTTCTACTCTGTCCTGTAGGGTCACTGAGTCGGAATTGACTCGATAGCAACGGCTTTTAACAGGTGAAGGTGATTGAAAATATCATGGCTTGGGTCAGGTACACCTTAGTCCTCAAAGTGACATCTTTGCATTTCAACACTTTAAAGAGGTCTTTTGCAGCAGATTTACCCAGTGCAATACATCTGATTTCTTGACTCCTGCTTCCATGCATGTTGATTGTGGATCCAAGTAAAATGAAATCCTTGACAACTTCAGTCTTCTCCATTTATCATGATGTTGCTTATTGGTGCAGTTGTGAGGATTTTTGTTTTCCTTGTGTTGAGGTGTGATACATACTGAAGGCTGTAGTCTTGGCTCTTCATCAGTAAGTGCTTCAAGTCCTGTCTGCTTTCAGCAATCAAGGTTGTGTCATCTGCATATCGTAGGTTAATGAATCTGCCTCCCCAGTCGTGGTGCTGCATTCTCTTCATATTGTCTGGCTTCTCGAAGTATTTGCTCAGCATACAGATTGAATAAGTATGGTGAAAGGATACGACCCTGATGCACATCTTTTCTGACTTGAAACCACATTCAAACAACTGTCTCTTCATCTGTGTACAGTTTCTGCATGAGCATAATGAAGTGTTCTGGGATTCCCATTCTTTGCAGTGTTATCTATAATGTGTTATGATCCACGCAGTCAAATGACTTTTGTATAGTCAATAAAACACAGGTAAATATCTTTCTGGTATTCTCTGCTTTCAGCCGGGATCCATCTGACATCAGCAGTGATATCCCTCATTCCACGTCCTCTTTTGAATCAGGGTGGAATTTCTGGCAGTTCCCTGCAACTGTGAATTACCTTCAGCAGAACTTTAGTTGTGTGTGATATTAATGATATTGTTTGATAATTTCTGCATTCTGTTGGACCACCTTTCTTTGGAATGAGCACAAATATGGATCTCTTCTAGTCGGTTGGCCAAGTAGCTGTTGTTCAAATTTCTTGGCATAGATGATTGAAGCACCTCCAGCGCTGCATCTGGTTGTTAAAATATCTCAATTGGTATTCTGTCAATTCCTGGAGGCTTGTTTGTTTGCCAGTGTTGTCAGTGTAGCTTGGGCTTCTTCCTTCAGTACCATTGGTTCTTGATCATAGGCTACCTCATGAAATGGTTGAACGTCAAGCAGTTCTTTTTGGTGCGGTGACCACTTTCCGTCTTTTGATACTTACTGCGTCGTTCAATATTTTGCCCATAGAATTCTTCAATATTGCAACTCGAGGCTTGAATTGTTTTCTTTAGCTCTTCCAGCTTGAGAAATGCCAAGTGTGTTCTTTCCTTTTGGTTTTCTAACTCACCTATAACAAGTCTTTGCACATTTTATTATTATACTTTTTTTTCGAGCTGTCCTTTGAAATCTTCCGTTCAGCTCTTTTACGTGATCACTTCTTCCATCCGCTTTAGTTACCCTGCATTCAAGAGCAAGTTTCAGAGTCTCTTCTGACATCCATTTTGGTCTTTCTTTCCTATCTTTTTAATGACCTGGGTTTCTTCATGTCTGATGTCCTTGATGTCATCCCACAACTCATCTGGTCTTCGGTCATTAGTGTTCAGTGCATCAAATCTGTACTTGAGGTGGTCTCTAAATTCCAGTGAGATATACTCAAGGTCGTACTTGGCCTCATGGACTTTTAATTTTCTTCAGCTTCAGCTTGAACTTGCATGTGAGCAGCTTGGGATCTGTTCTGCACTCAGCTCCTGGCCTTGTTCTGACTGATGATACTGAGCTTTTCCATCGTCTTTTTCCACAGACGTAGTCGATTTGACTGCTGTGTATCCCATCTGGTGAGGTCCAAGTGTATAGTCGACAGTTTATGTTGTTGAAAAACAGTATTTGCAATGAATAAGTAAATTGAAAAGCTACAGACTAATCGAAGTTTTGATATTGTTTGATGACTAGAGTAGGGAACATTGGCAGTTGCTTATCTTTGGACTGTAGTTCATTATGTCTCAGTTGCTGTGGTAGTTGATTGATGGGTCGGACTTGACTCCAAGGCACACAACAGCAGGATCTAAAAGATCTGTAATTTGAAGAAATGCCATTTGTTTTCATATTCCTGGAATGAAGATTCTAGAAAATGGTCCAGTTTAACTTGGTTCTTCACATTTGCCCAGAATTTTGTCAGATTTAAAATGTAACTAAAATTTTCTGTTAGTTTATGAATATAATCTGAGAAATTTTGTTTTGGGAGCTTTGCATATTAAATTTCTGGTTTCACACCTTGGGTGTAGTAATCCACAGTGAAATGTTGCTTCATTTGGCACTCACTTTGACAATACTTAGATAAGCATATGTTTATATGTTTTGTTAAAGTGCTCAGACTGCTGGGATTGTTTTGAAAAGAAATTGATGACTAAACACATCAAAGAAGATGAGTAGTGGGGTTTTTTTTCCCTCTGCGTTTCATGGCTAAACATGTTTAGGTCGAGATGATTGGTGAATTGAACTAAACACAGAGATACATTTCTGTTCAGAGATACAGGATTGGTTTATTTGTCCATTTTCTCTGAAAAATGTCAGGTGCTAGTGTAGCTTCCCTATTTTTTAAGGTAACAAGGGAAGAGTTTTTACTTAAAATCTACAGGTAGTTTGCTTTCAACTTGATTCATGTTCCAAATTTTGTAATATACTTTTTATATGTTTGCCAAGGGTTCCTTTAGGTGCTAAAGTCTAACAGCTTCTGGAGAATGTCTGGGGAGATTGGATTGAATAAAACTATTTTTAAGGTATAGGTTGTGTTGGAAAAAAATACATATTAGCAGTTATATTGTGTGTGCCTCCGACCACTGTATTTTGTTCATAATGACAGTATCTCTTGAAGACTGAGTGGTGCTTACTCATTCTGTATTAACAAAATCCAGTAGGGTGAAGTGTTTTTATTAACAGTCAGATGACCCCCTACATCTTGAGCAAAGTGCTAGAGCTGAAAGTCATTTTGACTGAAATAAGAGAAGTGCTTTGGATGCTGTGCAATGCTCAGTGAAAATACTTATAAATCATCTGAGAAAGAAGTTCTCTTCAGCAGAAAATGGGCAAAGTCTTAATAGAGAAAATTGCCAGTAAACTTGCTTGAAGAACATAAATAACCAGCACCTCAGTTACAGGAGAGAGCATGGGTGTTCCCTTTTTTTCAGGATCATCTGTCTCTTGCTACTTAGGGTTACTAAACTAAAGATGACTGCAGATTTTCAGAAGAATTGATTCAAAGATTGCATCTGTAGCTGGAGAAGGGACTTATACTGACTTAAGTATACTTGCAAGTTATTTATACTTACTCCCTTTTTTAATCTATTGCAAGCAAGTCAAATGTGGGTGTTATTTAAAAAACTGTTTCTGCACTTGCCCTGAAAGCTACCCTGCCGTAAATCAGAGAGGGTCAACTAAGGGTGATAGTGTTTTTATAGGAACACAAAAGAGTCTATTCAAATGGAATTTTAGTACAAGTACCAGAGATGGAGAAGAAAGAACCTTAGGAAACATATTTTTTACAGCACTGGGAAACGAAGGCAAATGATCTTTTACTTCTTCTGTGATGGAATAAAGTATGATTTCTGTTCCTATATGAAATCTTGGGACGTCTTCTTTTCACCTTGGGAGATTTTTTTTTCATAGGCTTGTATCGTGGCTTCTTGGTTTGGCCCCCACAAGAGAAGTACCTTCAGGTTGCACAGGCCACATTCTCTGCAATTTGCAGGGATACCTGATTGCCATTTCAGCAAGTGGATTGAGATTTTGTTTAATAAAGGAACAGGTGTTCTGTTGCAAGTTAACCAATTTTGAAATAAATGGTACAGTTTTTTTTGAACTAGCGAAAATGCCCTAGCCATGGGTTTATTCTTCCCAGTGAAAATTCAGGGCCTTTAAGATTAGTTTATTCTCTGTGAGAATCCAGTAATAGCTTTCATAAGTGTTTCTTTGAGTCCTGTTACCTACCTGTAGGTGGTAAAATGTATGAAAGTGAAAGAGGAAAGTGTTTTGAACGTCACCTGACATTGTCCAGGCAAAAACAGGGTACCTGGAAGAATCCTTTAAAGTGTGGCAATTTCAGTAGCCTGAATTGACTTAAAGGGACCCCATAGCATCACGTAATATGTTTCTTAGAGATGTGATAGAAATCTCAGCGGAACCAGTTTAAGAATGGTTTTGTCCTTTGTAAATGAAGAAAGCAGTGACCACTTCACTTGCAAAGTATGGAGCCACTTAGCATAGGATATAGGAAAGGCAGTTATGTACGTTTCAAGAATTTATACAAGCAAGACTGAGTCAAAAGCAGCCCTAATACCTAAATAGTAGCTAAATTGGGTTTGAGTCGGAATGGAATTGACTCCAAGGCAATGGGTTTGGTTTGGTTATAGCTATTTTAATTCAAAGAGAGGAGCACATTGCTCTGATTGCTTTTCTGTTTAAAAGGCCTAATGCTTTTATTTATAGCTTTACTCCATTTATCAATTTCCTTGAAAGAAAATACTTTCTTGGGAGTAGCATTTCCCTTCTGTGGCCTACCTATGTCTTGAATTATAGGATTTAGAATAGCTGGGGAGATAAACTTAAATTCAGGAGTGCCAAATTCGTCCTGGTGGTGTTTGTTTTAAAATTACCTGGTTTTTAGGTTGTTATTGCAAGAACTAAGTATGAACTGAACTTGACAAGTATGGGGAAGCATAGTAAAAATAACTTCAAAGATTTTATAATTAACTGCAGTAGAACCCTAGTTGATGTAAATTTATCTGGAAAGTTGTCCTTTGCACAGAAAGGAATTATAGAATAATTAAAAGAATGAGGTCTGAAACCAAACTCTTTGGTATTAGGTACTAGTTGTGTGATTCTTGGCAAGTTACATAACCTTCTATCTCAGTTTCCTTATCTGTATAATGCAGATAACACCTACTTAACTGGTGGTGGTGAGAATTGAGTTAAAACACTTGAAAACTGCCTGCACACACTAAGTACCGTGTTGGATGCTATTATTAATCATTTGTAACAATTCCTGTTAGAATGGGAATTTGGCAAAAATTGGCTTGTTACACAAACTCTGGATTTCAAAAATGCACTGACTCAATACCTTATCACCAACTCCAAGCCTCACCTGTTGGTGTCATCTGTTTTGCCTTTTCCTGTCTTTGACAGAAGTACAAATACAGTCAGTGAAAGTGCCAGACACTGACAAATGAGGGTGGAGGGTGATGAGCCACCAGGAAATGTCTTCAAAGTAGTCGGCAGTGTCTGTCTTGACCCACTGTTTTCAGGGCTTTAAGAAGAAATTGGTATTGTTGACTTTTCGTTTAATTATAATTTAATGCATATTTGTGATGGGGCGGGGGGGAGGGGACTAGCCCAGAGATAATCACTGTTACATACTGGCGGATATTCGTTTGGATGTTTTGGTGCAGTGATAATTTATAAAAGTGGTGATGATCCTATTCAGCCTTTTGTAACTGACCATTTTTCATGTCAAGCACTTCTACATTTTTAAAAAAGGCTGCATAGTACGCTTTTCATCAATTCTAAGATCCATCCCAATTTCAGACATGTTAAAATTTGGAGAAAAATTGCATCATATAATTGATGGTTTATTACACTTTAATTAGTATTTTTTTTCTACTCAAAACATAAAATGGTGGAGCGTCTTAAAAGTGGTGCAGTCTTATATTCCATGAAATTCAGTATTTCATTGTACAGCTATATCATGATTTAAGCAAGTTTCTACTGAAGGGTATTTAGGCTTTTCCACTGTTATAATCAATGCTGTGATGAATACTGCGTTCAACTTAGAATGTGTATACTGCTCCTTAAGCTACATTGCTAGAAGTTAAGTTGCTTATTTATATCTTGTTCAATATTGCCCAGCTGCCCTCCAGAAAAGGTGAATAGTGTGAACTTCTGTGAGTCCTGGAGGCTAGGAAAGGAAAACAGCGAGGGTTTGAGAATCGATCTTGGGACAGGTGACAACTGCATCAGGTGAAAGACAAAGAACCTAGTGGAGAAAAACCAAGAATCTAACACACACAGTTGGCAAATAGAATGTGCTCAGCTTGGCATCTTTTTCACTGGCCTCAGGGCATTGGTGAGTTGCAACTGCAGCCTATTAATGAAAGCTGAGAAATTGGGACAGAGTGGAGGAAGATAACATTAGTTTGACTTTTCCTAATGTCTATAAGGAGTCCCTGGGTAGTGCAAATAGTTACTCCCAGAGGTGCCTCAGAAGAAAGGCCTGGTGATTACTTCTGAAGAATCAGCTATTGAAAAGCCTCTGGAGCAGCGTTCTACTTTGACACACATGGGTTCGCCATGAGTCAGAATTGGCTGGTAATGTCAATAAGGAAGACGAGCCAAGGAAATAGTCTCTGGCTTCTAGGAAACAGGCCTTTTCAAGGAACAATTCATGGTAAGAGTCTCTACATCAGAAACGGTAGTGGAAATTCTCATGAATTCATTAAAAATGAACTCGGCAGTGGTATTGACAGTCATTCAGGTCCCAGAGAATTAAGGAATATGTGAGTTTTAGTAGAGCAGAAATTTCTGGGTTGGCTTTGGGATGTGTATCAGGAGTGAGGATTTAATATAATTGCTCATTTTCCTGTGGAATGAAAGCTTGGGTGTATGAATGTTTCTGAGCTTCTAGTCCTGGTAAACCTGGTAACCTGATTTGGAGTATTGATTGGGAGAGAAGGAATTGTGAAAACTACCTGGCAATGGCAAGGCAGGGTTACCCATCTGTCATTCACGGAAACAGGACATTTTATCTGGCAGAATGAGCAGCCAAAGACATGTTCAAATATGTCTTTAAAATAAATTCCTCTACATGTATCACAGCAGTGCCTTCAATGAAAATGGGGTAGAGTGAATGGGAGCTGGGAATGAAAAATGCAAGCTGTCAACCGTCCCAATAAAGAGGAGGCAGGCACAGCTAGACTGACTTGAAACAGAAGGAACAAGATGAAAGAGGTAGCAGGTGACATCTTTTACTTTTTGTTGAAAGCCTTTTATGGACCAAAGGACCCTGGTGGCACAATGCGTAAGCGCTCGGCTGCTAACAGAAAGGTTGACAGTTTGAACTCACCTGGCAGCTCCGAGGGAGAAGAGACCTGGCAATCTGCTCCCATAAAGATTACAGCCTAGAAAACCCTATGGGGGCAGTTCTACCGTCTCACATGGAGTTGCTTGCTACAAGTCGAAGTCAAGTTGGGGGCACCCAACAGCTCTAAACCAAGAGTGGTACTGGGGAAACACACCGTGGTTCCTGCTTGCAAGCTGTTTACAGCCCAGTAGAGGAAGTAAGTGCTGTGCGAGCATGGAGGAGGGGAATCTGCCGCAGCCTAAAGGAGTCAAGGAAGGCTTCTCAGGAGAGGTAATGCGCAATTTTTCTTCTTTTAGGGAGACAAATGACTGCAGCATCACCTAGGACTGGAAGGGAAAGGAAAGGGAGTAGGGGTGAAAGGGAGACTGGGTGCTGGGGACAAAGGAGGATGGGAGAGCAACTAAAAAATTGATAGCACATAATCCAAAGGAAACGAAAGGTAAGGAAAACAGGTATTACAAGAAAGCAGTAAAGATAGCTCCCACTGCCAAGAGGTAATAGGTTGGCCTGCTTCTGAGGAGGAGGCCTTCTCTGTTTCAAACAAGTTGATGGAGGGGCACTACATCCTGGGTGCAAACAAGCCACAGCTAATGCTGAGATGCAAGGAACTATGGTGTGAAGGGGCTGTGCAAAGCTAAATAGGATAGAAATGTCAGGAAGGACCTTAAGCTTTTTAAAGAAAGCCTGTGAGGACTAAATGTATAAGGTCTGGCATGTCAGGAAGCAAGGATGAATAAAGAGTTTCAACACGAACAAGTAGAACAAATGTTCATCACTTCAACCTCTAGAGCTCAGGGAAGTCTGGTAAACCAAAAGGCTGCGAAAAATTATTTATACAGGACTGGGCTGTGAATCAGTGTGGACATATTTCTAGTTTGGTGGGTTAGGGAAGAAGTATACATCCGTTAACAAAAAAAAAAAAAATTTTTTTTAATGAAAATCCAAACCAAGGATAGTGGAGAAGCTGCCCCAGTTCCAGTGATAGGGTGTGGGTGAAGGAGGCCCCAGGCTTGGAGAGGGATTTTGGAAAAAGATCCTTTTGGGACTTCTCATTCTATATTCTTTTGGAAAGGGTACTACTGTCTGAATGACACAGTAAGTATTAGCAGTTCGGACCAATAATTCCCCACCAGCTCAGTGGAAGAAATGATAGTGAAGGCATCGAGAGAGATGGGAGAGGGAAGGTGAGAAGCCTGGGGCCACAGCTTTAAAGGTATAAAACATGGGTCATGTTCCCAATTCATCCTTGGAAAAGGGAATTATCTTCCAGGCTGAACTTGAGCTGCCTGAGGATCAGCTTGAAGTTTTCATGAGGAAGCCTTGCTTTGCCCAAAGTCCTACAGTGGATTTATGGTAGCACTCCAAATTGCTCTTGATTCATTGAAAGAGTGTGAAGGCAAAATAAAACCACAATACGCTAGCAAAACAAAGGGAAATTAGAAAAAAAGATGCATTCATAGGCTTCATCAAATAGGACAGTAATTGTCTTGGGGGCCCTTTTAAACTGGTGTTCATGCAAGTCAAAATTTGTTTTGAAGGCTCCCTATAATTCTCAATAGTGTATTACCATCTAGAGTACACTGTCCAATGTGGTAGCCACTAAGCCACTGTGGGTATTTCAATTTACAATCAAAATTCAATTCCTCAGTCATGCTAGACACATTCCAAGTGGTCAGTAATCACATGTTGCTAGCGTCTACAGTATTGGACAGTGCAGATATAGAGCATTTCTACCATTTCAGAAAGTTCTATTGAACAGTACTGATCTAGAGCATGAGGCCTGTATGTAGTAGGTGTTTTATAAATACTTGTTGCATGAATGGTCATCTAGACTGTTGGCCACTGCTAGTAGGAGTTTTGGCTTCTCCTCCCCTTTTCCCTTTCTGGCCAGCATAGCCAAGAAAGTTGCCAGGAACCCCGGCTGAAGTGTGTAAGTCCACATGGTGGAGGATGTAATGTTAAGGCTCTGGAAAAGTCAAGATGAGGTATTTGGGTGAAGGCCAATGCTCGGTTCCCAAGACTAACCATGAGCTGGCTTGCCGGCTGTCCTGCAGCACCCAGACCTGATGGCAGCACTCAGAGGTGATGGCTACTAGAGTATTTAATTTTATCCCTCTTGGAGAGGGGGCTGGGGAGATGGGGTATGCTGCGCTGGTTGGGGGCTCGTTGACTTTGCAGGCTTCAAGCTTCGTCTCTCAGAGCATAAGGGAGCCACACCCCATCTTTAACTGATCTAGAGTCAGTTTCTCACTACAGGAAAAGCTGAGTGGGTGAAGGGAACTTGAAGGGAAAACAGAAAGGGAGATGTGCTGAGGCTCCAGTTCTTCCAGAGGGTCAGGGACAGCAGCCTCATGTGAAGGGAGGTAATCTATGTTGGAGGGTAAGTAGCCTTCATGCGTGGGAAGAAAGTCCACCGGGAGGACTGTCAAGGGGCTGACTTGGTTTCCAGGCTTTGAGTCAGGGACCCTGCCCCCCAGCATCTTGTACAGGTCGCCTAGTTGTCTTGTCTCAGCTGTGAGGGCTCTTGGAGGTGCTATGTCTTCCACAGATGTACAGTGACCTTGGACTCCTTGTTGCCTTTCTGGCCACTTGAGGCGATGGGGATGTCTGAAGGCTGGGGCCACTTGATGAATGACCTCATTGATGACCAGTGTCTCAGGTTCTTCAGGAGTGTGCCCAGCTGTCAGGAGCCTTTCCACGGGGAGCTGTGTCTTCTCCTGAGAGAAGGGAGGTAGAAGAGGCTCTTAAAGTGCTGTAAGGAAGTAACCTTGACACCTGACTTCTCCACTCCTCCCAGATGCCTCACAGCCTGCACTGCCTACTCAGCTTGGGTGGGACACTGGGCCCTCCACTTTGTAAGGTAAGAGAAGTGAACGTTGTCAGGGAGTCTGCATTGGAGGCAGAGAGGCAGGAGCAGGACTTTCTCCAACCCCCACAACCCAGCCTGTTTTAGCCAGCCTGTTTCTAATGTGAATCAAACTGTGTTGTCTGCTTCTCTAGCATAGAAGGCACACTGGGTGCAAAGGAAAGGTCGGGCTTGCCTCTGTCTGGGAAAGGAGCCAGGGAAGGCTTTATGGTCATGCCTCACAGGTGATGAGGTGATGCTGAGCTGAGTCCTGAGAGATGTGTAATATTTTCCAGGTGGGGAGGTATAGCAGGCAAGAGGACTGGTGTATTCTGGAAGCTGCTAGTTATTTTTTATGACTGGCAGGAGGGGGCTCACATCACAAAGGGGCTTTTAAGGGATGCTAAGGAGTTCAGCTTTGATAAAAACTACTGAAAGGTTTTAGGCAGGGTAATAACCTTGTCAGATCAGCTTTTAAGAAAGACCCCTACAGAATAACATGTTTGGAAGAAATTTTCATCCTTTCTTCTCTGTCATTATTTTGACTATTAATTCTCTCGCTCACTCTCTTTGTTGGTTGCCAGCTCGTCGATGGCATTATCTCTTTCCTTTCCAAACTTACTGCTGAGTCCAAGTCCTCTCGCCACATTATTAACATTTCTTTTTTTTTGTTATTAGCCACCATCAAGTTGGCCCCTGACTCACGGTGACGCCATGCACAACAAGATCAGATCGTTGTGATCCATAGGGTTTTCACTGGCTGATTTTCGAAAGTAGACCACCAGGTCTTTCCTCCTAGCTCGTCTTAGCCTGGTAGCTCCACTGAAACCTATTCAGCATCACAGCAGAACGCAGGCCTCCACTGATAAGACAGATGGTGGCTGTGCATGGAAGGTGAGCATTCTACCGCTGAACCATCGCTGTCCCCAACATTTCTTTTAATAGATTTAAATTGATCTCTCTGCCTCAGCCTCTCCTTACATTTGAGAAACTGCCCTGATCCTTCTAAAGTAGAACTCCATGACTTGCACTTACATATACGGTAAGTTTTCAAGCCCTTAGTCAGGCAATCGAGCTCCTGCACAACTGCCTTCTTCCACCTTCCCACATTTCCCTTCAGAAATTGCTATTTCACTCACACCATCCTGGTCTTCACTGAACACACGTTTTTCCCTCAGTCCCACCACCACACTTTTATCAACTGGCAGTCTCCACTCTGCTTATGTGTGCTCCACCATCTCTTATGTGACACCTTCCTCTTTCATATAAGCCCCTAGTGACTGTTCTTCCACTTCACAACAATGAAGAAACCACCCATTAGGTTCTAGACGTGTGGATGCTTTGTACTGTCACTTTTTTACATGTCTGTAAACCACCTGCGTGCAGGGACCACGTCTCAAGGGAGGAGTAAATCAAAAACCAAACCTGTTGCCGTCAAGTCGATTCTGACTCATGGCAACCCCATGTGTTACAGAGTAGAACAGTGCTCCCATAGGGTTTTTTCTTGGCTGTAATCTTTACGGAAGTAGATTGCCAGGCTTTTCTTCTGTAGCCCTGATGAGTAGGTTTGAACCACCAACCTTTTGGTTAGTCGATGAGTGCAAACTGTTTGTGCCACCCAGTAGAACCTTAAGGGAGGAGTAGGATGACAAAAAGGAGCCTTGGGACAGGGAAAACCCTGGCTACTAGTCTCAAGTCTGACCCTCTATGGCCTAGAGAAACTCAACCGGCTTCTCTGGGCCTCAGCTCCCTCATTTGTCAAATGACAAACTGTGCAAGATGGTTTGGTCTGGATCGGCCTCTGATGTTCCCCAGCTCAGTATCCCCCTCCTTTGCCTTGAACTTTGCAAGTGTCCCAGAAAGTCAAAGAGGCTGCTGCCTCAGGACAGACTGCCACGAAGGGCCCTGACCAGCGAGAGGGTGTGTGTGTGTGTGCTTCTCTTCTGGGAGCGTGCTGGATTCTGATTGCTGCACAGACTGGCCCTGGCAAGTCGCTTGGGCTTGGAACACAGCTGGCGGCTTTGGGCAGCCGAGCTGCCAAAGTGCTGCTTCCACAGATGCGGGAGAGATTATACAGGGTGTGGGAGTGGCTCATTGTTTTCACAAGGTGGGGTGTTTGCTCTGCCTTGTTTAAAGCTTTGGCAATATTGATTGAGGTTGCTCGTCTGTGCTTTTAGAAAGCAGGCTCTCTAGCTGACAAGTTCCAGGAGGAAGCCCTTTGAAATTACTCTTAGCTCAGGCACTTCATGGACACTGTTTTAAGCTTTTATGAGCTCAAAATAGATAACATCCCAGTGACCCCCTTTATGATAGGGCCCTTTTCTCCAGAGCCCTAAGGCGGGGTTTGTCATCCACATCTTAGGGAGTGGTAGAAGGTGTAAGGCTTGAGAGGTCCTAGCACATTTTGCTGGAGGTGAAGGAGGACAGACTGTTGTGTTTCTGTCTTCTGCTTCAGCCTAGCACCATGAGAGCAGCCTGGTTCTTTAAAAATGATCTACTTGCTTCAAGGGTCAAGCCACATGGGTTCCAAGGATGCCTCCAAGGCTCTCGTCACAGAGGCTATGTTTAAGCTGCTTAAATTTTTGATTTTCTAATTCACTGGTTATTATTGAGAAATAAATATATGCACATAGTTTTATTTTTTTAAGTTCAAGTGGACTATGTAATGTTAGCCCTCACCCCCCTCCCCAGAAGCAACCACCAATATCAGTTCATATGTGTTATCTGTATGCTTCCAGAGATATCCTGTGCACATGCTGGAGGGCCGTGTGTGTGTGTGTGTGTGTGTGTGTGTGTGTGTGTGTGCATATGTGCGCGTGTGTGTAAGATGTCCCT